GGGGAAACATTTTGGCCAAATTATTTTTTTTATAGCTGACCATAATATGGCCATATCGAGGTGGATTTTTTTTCAAATTGGAACCCTATTTTTTTACATATAGGTATTCTTAGAGTTCATAAAAAAATAAGAAACTTCTAAGGACCGATTCCACCGTTGTGTTAAAATCGAAACATATTTTTATTGGATTTCTACTTATTGAGTAACACCTACTTGGAAATTTTGCTGCGCGAAAAAAAGTTGGCCATATTATGGTTTGCTATAAAAAAACATTTTTAGCCAAAATGTTTTCCCCAAAAAACTATAAAACTTTGTTTTTTTTATAAAAGGCGGTATTTAACTGTAACCCTTTTATTTGAACACCCGGTATATTTGACATTTTTTTTGAACGTAAAATAAAAATTCTACCACACGATCAGGGGGTCGATTCGTAGGAATTCTGTTTCTCGCGGGCCTTTTTTCTGGTCATATTGTATGTAGGGTTTATTTAAATGAGTATGGATATATTAAAAAAAAAACAAAAAACAACTCGAGAACAGTACAAGTTGTATTTATTGGATTTGAAAAACAAACCAAATTTGTGTAGGTTACGGAGAAGTATTATAGGTACTTCCATAATATAGGTTTTGTTACAGTTTCGCAGTGCTACTTTAGGAACATCACTGTTAATAAGAATCCAATAGTAAATGATTGAATGGGCAATCCTAACTTTGAATCAGATTTATTTTTAAAATAATTAAATAAATTAGAAAAAAATTCCTTACAAATTTTACTTGCTGTATTAGGTATATGGAAATTTAGTTGTAAAATTTGTAAAAAAGTGTTTTTATTATTTAGAACATATCCTGATTCACAATAAAAAATGAGAGGGAATGCAAAAATTACTATAACGACACTTCATATTATTAACGACAGCTCTTTGGCTATCGTTGATGAACGACAATTTTACAACCATGTTTGTCTATTTTCAATGACAATCGTTGTCTACTGAATAAGAAAAGTCGTCTGTGAACGATTATCGTCTATTAACGACGTCGTTCAGAGTTACTGAATAGGCCCCTAAGCCCAGTATAAAGAATAATACAGTAGCGACAGATCATTTTTTATGAGGTGTCCATATTTTTCTGCGCATGTCCGAAAATAAGCGACAAAAACGTCAACGTCAATAGTGTCAATGCAATGTAAATATGACATTATTTTTGTTTGTTTGCAGTGTATATTTTGAGACATTTTTATTATTTTAGTTTTTCATTTATTGTGTGATATTTTTGAAATGGCTTCTGCACCTGATCAGAAAAAAAAAGAGATGTGTCTATCGCCCTTGTCCATCTCAAACAGAGTAAACAGACAAAGGGACAAGTTATTTTGCATTTCCCATGGAGCCATAAAGGTATGTCTTGAGAAAATACTTTCAATTTTTATATTTGAAAACCAAATATTTATTTGACAACCAAATATTTATTATTTAAATGTCTTGAGGACAATTTTTACAATTTCAACAAAAATAATGTAAAAAATATATAATTTCTGAACTACCGTCAATCTAAACATTTGTTATCAACTTTTTTATATTTTAGGGCCAACATGTGGTTAAGAGCTTGTAATAGGGAAGATTTGAGTAACATAGATGTGAACAGTCTTCATCGGAATTACAGGTTGTGTGAGAAACATTTTGAGAAGAATTTTTTTTCTAAAACGTTGAACCGTAAACGTTTATTGCCTACTGCTGTTCCCACATTTTTTATCCATCTAGGTCATCAGCCAAATGTATATCTTCTCCCTAGTACATCGACCAAGTGCTTCCTCTGTTGAGACTATCATTGAACATGAACGAGACATTTTTGAAAGCGTACCATGTGCAACCTTTGGACATTCTTAATCAAAAATCCTACCTCCAAATTATTATAATGAATTAGATGTTCTTTGATTCACTATGTCCATTGATTAAAAATGTTCTGATTGACTACATCTAATCAAAATATATATGTATTTCTTGTAAAGTAGCAAAAAGAAAACAAAAAAATGTATTTTGTGGTGTTATTATTTTAACTGTTTTTTAATTTTTGATTTGTTTCATTTATACAATATTTAAGCACTTAAACAATAATATATATAATCTTATAAACAGTTGTATGATATATACGTTAGGGAAATTAGGACAAGGATGATTAAATTCTATTTCTTTCATAATATCAAAAAAAGCTATGGGATATACCAGACATTACACAGGTATTGCTAAAAATAGATATAACATTTTTTTATAATTTAAATATATAGATAATAAACTTTTCATTTGGAGTTTTTAGGCCTCCATAAGTGCTTTATTTGCAATCATATGTTAAAATCTGTGAACTATCCAAATCTTCACATTCTTTTGAAAATTTAATAAATGTATCACATCCATGTATGCCTAAAGCTTTTTTGATCAAATAGCCACAAACATATTTAAATGGATTTTGAACTATTATATCTTGTCCTGTAGTTGTAATTAGGAAGAAAAACAGCTTCTTGAGTGTTTTTATTTATTTCAGGATACAGAGAGACAATATTTTTTACATCTAATTGTAGCAAGTGCTTGTCCAGGTCTTCATTACAATTCATGGAATTGCAATGAAGATAATTTTGACAAAAACGTTTTTTAAATGCCCTTTCGAATTGTACAGGTGTTGGATTAATTAAATTCCCACCCTGTTGCCTAATGGACCCAACAAATTTTTCTAGACAGTCACTGTTGATTCTTCTAGCCATTAAATATTTAAATCCCGCAGCAGATAACCATTCCCATACAAATTTTAAACCATAAAATCGTTAAATATAAACATCTAATTTTTATGATGTGACGTTAATAGTATTTAATTATATACATAGGTAATATAAGCAATTGGGCAGCATTTTGCTTAACGGGTGACTTACAACAGGCATTTGCTAAAACTCATCTGAAGTCAAAAATTTGTACGTAGGAACAAAAATTGAAATAAAATAATTCTTGTATTGTAAATTCATTAAAAACTTACTAATTTGTAATTGTGTGTTTTAATAAATATTATTGTTATATGTTGTTTCACTTCTAAAAAGATACCTACATAACCTCATTTTAAATAAAAAAATAAGGTGCTGAGTTAATTTATTAGTTCCAGGAAGAAACCAAAAACTGTTTGACACATTTCATACAATGAATGGCATACAAAAGTAATTTATTTTATTCTAATGATAAAATTTTAAAATTGGCACATCTATATTTTCACCGGAACTCATTTATTTAAGTTACACAATATTTTGATTAATTTATTTGCCTAGAATACATTAAAATGTTATATGTACATGTTTTAATTTTTTTCTAATTGTACATCGCTAATTTGCAATTTTAGAGTTTACTTTTCTCCGTGTAGAAATAAGCGACAAAAACGTCAACTGTCATTGAAAATCTGACCACCCCGACATCAAAGAAGCCGACGCAATCTGTCGCTACTGTATTGTTCTTTATACTGGGCCCTAAGTGACAATAAATTGTAAAGTTGTACCTACCTTAAACAAGTGTATCCAATGTCAAAATATCGGTATTTAGTAACACTGAATTTAAAAGTATTACAATAACATTTAAAAAATGTAAATTAATAAAAAAAGATTGATAATAATAATAATAAATCTTTTTAGCTTTATGTTAATCGAAATGTCATTCATCCACTGACGTTTATGAGATGTTCAATGATACATATTATAGATTGATCACCCATCTATAAAAAAATTATGAAAAGCGGGTTGCAATGTGCCTTTCCTAGTGCTCACTAAATAGAGCCGTTCTAGCCCAAATGTGTTTTAAAATAAAATTTCAGCATTTTAACCTTTAGAAAAAGAAAATAATTAAAGTTTTACTTCAAGACATGTTATTATGTAATTCGAAAGTTGAGTTTCCATGTAGTTAAATAATATTAAGAGATCTAAACAATTTTTATAACAGATAGATATAAATAATTTTAGACTACTATTTCAGAAACAATTCTACATAAAATACATAATTGCAATATGTAATATAATTTTGAAAAGGTAATGTAAACAATTTTGATATGAGGTATAAACAACTTTGGTAAGAGATGTAATTGGACACTTATCTATTATTCTGAATAATGTTTAATGGTAATGTCACTAAAAAAATTTACAAAAAATCACTGGATTTTTAATATTTTAAAGTTTGTTGCAATCTCTTTTGACAGTAATTGCAATGTATTATTTATGATTTGTTTATTTTAATAATAAAGGAGAAGTAGTTAATAAATTGCAAAAAGGGCCGTGATATTTTTGTCAAATTGGACATTCTTATTTCATAATAACATTCTACATTAGTTTTAATCAACAGAATAAACCATTAATTATCTGTAAAATTATATTTATATAAAATGTTCATTTAAATATGTAAAAATCTTAATGACAAGAAAACACTAAAGATTCTAATTTCTAAACCGGTTCTGTAAATGATTTCTTTACAACTAAGTGCTCAAAATTGATACAAGCTAAATAAAAAGAAAACTTTGCCCAGTGAAATACGCTTTTCGTCGTCTGATTTACATATGGATAAGCAATCTTTGTAATTATGTATATCATTGGGTGTGAGGCATAATTGTGCTCTGTGGAAATTTATAAAATTTCTTTACTATCGAATGAAATCCAGGTTTCCAAAGTGATGTGTTTGTACATCCACGGATGCAACAAGTTTTTTCGTTATTGATATTACGAAAATAATTCGACTTCATTTTATTAATAATTATTAAACAATAAATGCCGTATAAAACATTAATAAATACCCCCCATAAAGTTCACATTTTTGTCACCAGTTAGCGTTAAAGTCATGACGCACGGTCCCTATTAAATTAATCAATGTGCTCTACATTTTAATACAATTTTGCTATTGTAAAATGGACTTCAGAGCACCCAAGCGCGGAGGAGTATGCGCAGAAACGTGTTTACGTATTGTGCATATGATATAAACCCCCGTGCTACACCACTTCTGAAAATATCGTTCCATTTACACAAATTGTATGGCCTAACCTCAGAAAATTCGAAATTGATTTTTTGAGAAATCGCAAACAACGATGTGATATAAAGCAAACGGGAAAAGGCAAGATTATGAACTGTTAGGGAAACCTAAAAATGTAATAGTGTTAACATGCTCAAGTCAAACTATTTCGTCATACCTTTTCTAAATAATTCAATTTGGAGATATGGTTTACCTATAAATTTCAGAAAATTATCGCATATAAGATTTAAACATGTTGGAAATAGGAAACCTCTACAAATACAAGATGAACCTTTAAAACCGGATCATAGAAAAATAGGAAGAGATCAAGAATTATATTTCTTTAATGAAATGTCACCAGGCTCTTGTTTCTTTCATTCCTATGGTGCTCATATTTATAATACACTTGTAAATTTTATCAAGAAGCAATATAGAGTGAGAGGTTTTGATGAAGTAATAACTCCAAATGTCTATAATGTAAAGTTATGGAAAACATCTGGTCATTGGTCACATTATGCAGAAAACATGTTTGCTTTTGATATCGAAAAAGATAAGTATGCATTAAAACCAATGAATTGCCCCGGGCATTGTCTAATTTTTGATAATAGGATTAGGTCATGGAGAGAACTGCCCTTACGACTGGCTGATTTTGGCGTATTACATAGAAATGAACTTTCTGGTGTACTGACTGGTCTCACTAGGGTAAGGAGGTTTCAACAAGATGATGCTCATATTTTCTGTACTCCTGGACAGCTAAAAGAAGAGATAAATGATTGTTTAGATTTCATAAAATATGTATATTCAACTTTTGGTTTTACCTTTGACCTATGTTTATCAACAAGACCAGAAAAATATATGGGAGATGTAGATTTATGGGATTCAGCAGAGAAGGCTTTGGAGGAGAGTTTAAATGCGTTTGGTTATCCTTGGAAATTGAATCCTGGAGATGGGGCATTTTATGGTCCCAAAATTGACATTACAATTAAAGATGCCCTAAGAAGAGACCACCAGTGTGCTACAATTCAGTTGGACTTCCAGTTACCACTTAGGTTTGATTTATCATATGTAAGTGATACTGGAGAAAAGAAGCAACCAGTAATGATACACAGGGCTATTCTAGGATCAGTAGAGAGGTGTATTGCAGTTCTGGCAGAGTCCTATGCAGGAAAATGGCCATTTTGGCTATCCCCACGACAAGCTATAGTCATTCCTGTCAAGCCAACATATGACCAATTTGCCGAACAAGTTAAACAAAAACTGTTCAAAGCAGGATTTATGGTAGAAATAGACAAAAGCTTAGGGAGCACTCTTAGTAAAAAAATCCGAACATCTCAATTGGCTCAGTTTAATTTTATTCTAGTTGTTGGTGAAAAAGAGCAATTAAATAACACTGTTAATGTCAGAAGTAGGAACAACATTGTACATGGTGAACATTCTGTTGAAAGTTTACTAGACAGATTTAGTAGATTAAGAGATAATTTTGTTATAAATGAAAATGAATTTTAAACATAAAATAAATATTATTTTTAGTGTATTTATTTTACAGCTATAGTTGCACGATTAATGCTGACCAATTCTTTCCAAAACATAATCACTTTGGCCAAAAAATGTGGAATGTCATTAATGCTTTTTTATATCTTTGGTTGTTGACAGAAGGAATTTTAACTTTGGCTTTTTTTCCTTCCTTGCTAACGAGTATTTCTACTGACAATCTATAACTTCTGAATTTCGTAATAAAGTTTTTAGGCAACTGTTATAAAACATATTTTATGGATTTATTAAAATCCCTAAAGTGTCACTTTTTTGGCCGCATTTACTTTACGGCTGGTTTAAAGTGATACTTTTTTGGCCGGATTTACTTTAGAGCCACTTTTTATAAACACAGGTTTATCATTCTTATCATTAGTAATTTTGTACAAATTTTATTAGTTAATGATAGATTTTTATTCGATCAATAACGATTTTAAACAATTCTTGCATTTCAGCATCTTTTCAAAAACAAGAATGTAAAAAGAAATATTGGTTCTACTTGATGACCTTTTTTGACCTAACCAAAAGATACACTTTACAGCCTTGGTACACAAATAACTATTAAGTAAAATGAAGCTTAATAGATGTATTCAATCATCAAAATTTGTTAAAGTATCATGAAAAGTACATTTTTATGTATTGTCAACAAGGGAGGTAAACACAATTACTAGGCTCTATGTGTAATTTTTCATGAGTATAAGTGAAAAAATCTGATGTGTCCAACACATGACTTTCCTATCTAGTTATTACAGGCTTTTTCCAGTTATTTTGTACAACCTATTGCAGCACCTCTGTAAATGTTTAGAGGACAAACTTAATATACATACATACATCTAACTCACAACATTTTTCTATATTACATTTATTGAAAACGAAAATACTAAAAAAATTAAATTTTACACTTTTCATCCAATTTTTCCATTACGTTCCATTTTAGAGAAATTATGTATAAAAAACGAATTATAGAGAATTATATCACAAACAACTTTTATTTAAAAAATTTTCTTAAAAATTCGATTTTTTTTCATTTTGTAAAATTTCTCGAATACGGACAATTTTGGATAGAACAAAAATTATAGAGAATAATATAGAAAGTAATTTTTATTTAAAGAATTTTCTTCTCCAAACGCAAATAGATACATTCCATAAAATATAAAAACGACCTTATATAAAGTACCCCCGCCCAGATGTTCCGACTCTACCCAAAATCTAATAAGTTCACTTTAGGCTGGAATAAAACTTAAATTGAAAATGTAATGTTTTTTCTTTATCCGTTTTTGAGTTTTCTTTAAAATTCGAAATTTACGTTTTCTCAAATATCTCGAATACTATTTTAGACAAATTATGTATGGAATAAGAATTATAGAGAATTTTATTACAAACAACTTTTATTTGTTGAACAATTTTCCTAAAAAAAAATTTGATTTTTTTACATTTTGTAAATTTTCTCGAATACGGGCCATTTTAGGAAATTTTTGTATAGGACAAAAATTATAGAGAATATTAATATAAGTAACTTTTATTTGAAGAATTTTCTTCTCCAAATGTAAATAACATATATTCCATAAAATATTAAAATTACCCCCTAGATGTTCCGATTCTGCCCAAAATCTAATCAGTTCACCGAAGGCCGGAATAAAGCTTAATTTTAAAATTTGGTGTTTTTCTTTGTATCCGTTCATGAGTTCGAGATACACCCACACAGACATCATCGCGAAAATAGTCAAAACAAATTCAGGGGACCTCAAATCGTAAAAATCAGTCGAAAAAAATCATGATTCCTATACTACTTGTAAAGTAAATTAAAAAATACTGGTGGCACTCGGAGACTGCCGCGGTAAAGCTATTGCATAGCATTTTTTATCAACTTATGCAATTATAATTATTTATTTATGCAGTATTTTTTTTCTTTGATATTAATTTAAGTTACAATTTTTGAGCGTGGTGACCAATAAGAAAACATTTTTTTTTTTATTGAATAAAAGAAGTTAATATTGTTTAAAATATTTTTATTATCTTACAATACATGTAGGTTATTCAGGAATTTTTATCATTGAAACTATAGGTTTATGGTAACTGAAATAGGAAACAAGTTTGAGACTTGATATCCTCTAAATATCTGGAAAATACCGCGTCAATGGTGGTCCCATATTTTGTTGTGGATCATTATTAATTTTCAAATTCAGTTTTTCCAAAATTGTGTCTAAAAGAGATAGAATCAGTTAGCAGCTAGTCTACATGCATACGTTGAGTCGCACGCACACAAACACCGTGCCGAAGTCTGCCGAACTGAAACGACGTTAGACTATGCACGGCTTTCAACGCCGCACCGGTCGGAGTGAGAGGTGTTAGGTTTATTTTCGTTACGGAATATCTGTTTTGATTTTTCTATTTTTCAGTTATTCGATTTTATTTTATTGAATAAATGAGAATTTAATATTGTTTAACGCCGCACCGCTGTGCCGGTCGGAGTGGGGGGTATTAGGTTTTTTTCGTTACGGTCGTTACGAAATTTCTTGATTCGGTCGCCGCACTCAAAGCCCGCGATAAAAGCTATGCAATAGCTTAAAAATTCACAGAAATGGAGTGAAACTTTTTGTAACATGAGTACAGCTATCACTGTCTTAAGAGTTTCAGAAAAGGCAGGGCAAGCTTGAATGTACATTTTTATGAACTAGGTATATAAATTATAGAAAATAATATATTTTTTTGATATTAGGTACTGATTAATTTGATTATCATTTGTAAGTATGACATTATTATTGCTTATTTAAAATAATAGGAAATTCAATTTGGTAAGTAAAATTACATAATTATTTTTCTACCCATTAGTATAAAATTCAAAACATTGTAATATTGCCAAGCCCATTTTTTAATTGCCTTGGTTAATTTTGATCTTAATATTACTGTAGGATTAAATAAGTACTTTTTGTATAAGCATACATTTATTAAAGTAAAACATAAATATAAAACAAAAATACTATTCTATTAGCAAAATTTTAAATGCAATTAGAGTGTTTTACTTAGAAGTCATTTTCACTCTGAAGATGATTATTACTCAAATTGTTGAACTTCTCAATTAATTTATCCAAAGAAAATTCTCCATGTACTACATTATCTCTAGTACGAACATTGACGGTTTTACTTGATTTTTCCTTATCTCCAACGACTAGAATAAAGTTGAACTGGGCTAGCTGGGCATTTCTTATCTTTTTGTTCATGGTATCACCAGGATCACTGTCTACTTCTGACATAAATCCTGCTTGGAAAAGTTGTTGTTTGATTTCTCCTGCATATTCATCATACGTTGGTCCTACAGGAATTACCATGACTTGTCTTGGGGAAAGCCAGAATGGCCACTTACCAGCAAAAGACTCTGTTAGTACTGCTATACACCTTTCTACAGATCCAAGAATTGCTCTGTGAATCATTACCGGTTTCTTCTTATCTCCACTATCAGCTATATATGATAAATTAAATCTTATAGGTAACTGAAAATCTAATTGAATAGTAGCACATTGATGAGATCTCCGCAATGCATCTTTAATTGTTATGTCAATTTTAGGACCATAAAATGCACCATCACCAGGATTAAATTTCCAAGGCTGGCTGAATTTATTTAAACTATCTTCTAAAGCCTTTTCAGCAGAATCCCACAAAGCAGCATCTCCAATGAATTTTTCTGGTCTGGTAGAAAGGCAAAGATCAAAAGTAAAGCCAAATGCTGTGTACACATATTTGACAAAATCTAAGCACCCGTTTATTTCTTCTGTAATTTGTTCAGGAGTGCAAAAAATGTGTGCATCATCCTGTTGGAATCTGAAACAATAAATTTAAGAAAATATTTTTTTTTTAGTAGGTACATAACAATCAACTTTTAATAAATATTACCTTCTAACTCTAGTGAGACCAGTAAGTGCTCCAGAAAGTTCATTTCTGTGGAGGACACCAAAATCAGCAAGTCTTAGAGGAAGTTCTCTCCATGAGCGCACACGATTGTCAAACATAAGACAATGACCTGGGCAATTCATGGGTTTCAAAGCAAATTTGTCTTTTTCTACATCAAAGGAAAACATATTTTCAGCATAATGTGACCAATGGCCTGAAGTTTGCCACAGCTTCACATTGTACATGTTTGGAGAAATAACTTCTTCAAAGCCCCTTTTTCTGTACTCTTTCTTTATGAAATTTACTAGAGTGTTATAGATATGAGCTCCTCTTGGTTGGAAAAAGCAAGATCCTGGAGACATTTCATGAAAGAAGTACAGTTCCTGTTCTCTCCCAATTTTTCTATGATCTCTTTTAGCAGCTTCTTCTTGAAAATGCTCCCATTCTTTCAGTTTTTTTGTGTCTGGGAAACTTATCCCATACACCCTTTGTAGAGTTTCAGCATCAGATTTTCCTTCCCAATAAGTAGAAGAGTTTTTGGTGACTTTGAGCGCTTTTATTTTTCCAGTATGCCTTATATGTGGTCCCCTGCACAAGTCTATAAGAGGACCACATTTGTAAACAGTAGTGGTTGCAGTATTGACTTTTTCATTAAGAATACGAACTTTAAATTCATTATATTTAAACATTTCCAATAGGTCTTCCTTCTTCATTTCTAACCTCTCAAATTGTTGTTTTTCCTTTACAATATTTTTCATTAAATTTTCTACAATAGGGAAATCAGTTTGCGATATACCTTTTTCGTCCAAAAACATATCATAGTAAAATCCAGATTCTATTGGTGGTCCATAACAAAGACAACCTCCATATATTCTTTCCAGAGATTCCCCAAGAACATGAGCAGTAGAGTGCCAAAATACTGCTTGGGCTTCTTCATCTTCAAATTTGAGAAGTTGAAGGGAACAGTTTTCTTCCAATGGTCTATCTAAATCCCATAACACACCATTAACTTTCGAAATAACGGTATTATCAGCTAACCCTGGACTTATTCCTTTTGCGATGTCATATGGAGAGGTTTTCCAAGCTACACCTTCTACTACCTTACCATCTGGTAAAGTGACTTGAATAGGTTCTTGTGGTTTTTTTGCAATGTCAGCATCATACTCTGCTTTCAATTTGTTCCATAATTTCAACCTCTCCTCAATGTATGCTGGCCAAGGACTTAATTCCTTGAGAGTACCAGAATCGCCACCACCTGGAGCAGTTTGTTTATTCTTTTTTTTTGATTTTTCAGTTTTATTTTGATTGATTTTCTCCATAGTTTCACTCATTTTTCAAAAAAAAAATGTTTATTTCTTAAGTACTGTAACGTGATATATATTAAATAATACTTCTGGTGCACTATTTTTGACAATATAAGAATACTTTCTTTATATTCAACCAAAGGTGACAACACGAACGACGAACACAAACGTGTAATTTCACAGTAATTTTTAACCAAACTTTTACTTGGGTTTTGGGTTGCATGCGAAGTTCGGTGGGTTGCATCAGAAAAAGTAGCGACTAACAACAGGAACTATTCCACAAACACAAGTCAAGAGTATTCGTTATACATATACGAGGGATGTATTAAAGTATTAAACTAATAGAGCAGCTTAAGGCATAAACATCCCTTCTTCATCGCTTATTCGCCTCGTTCTCTAATCCATGATATATAGGTACCCTAAATACATTCTCAAATTTATGTAATTAAAAAATTATTACGTGTGAGCCACAAATATTTTCTTCTCATCCGTGAAATAAATCGATCATGCATGCCGGAGTTTTAGATCAGATCGACAACATATTGATATATAACAATGATTCGAGCCGTGTGTGTACTATTATTTGTCGATCATGTAAAACCAAAGAATGTAAAACTGAAAAGAGTGTGGCTCGCACAAAATGTTAAAAAGTTTATTCATCAAGGGAGATGAAAACACAAACCTAATTTTTAGAGTGGCCCCAAGCTGAGCAGATCGCATTTTTATATTTGGCATGCTCCTCTTAATTATAGTGACCTAAAGTATGTTTCTGTTACATAGGCTCTTCATGTAGTCTTAATTTGTTCGTATATTTTATAAGTACCTATACTGTAATTCTATTTTTACGCTACTTTTCAATAACTGGTTTCATTAAAATATACCTACCATTACACCAAATATTCTTATTCTGTATGTTAAATATATTAATACTTTTAATATGTTCATATTAATTATTTATTTTTCTATCGAAAATTATAAAAAAAATTGATTATATATATTTTCATATGCCGCCAATTTTCGTAGACACTTGGTGGCATAGGAAAACTTTTTTATTACTAATTTTAGGAAAAAAAAGTTGTTCTTTATAAAAAGTCGAGCATGGTCTAAAACCTAAAATACAACCATGAAATATCAAATTTTATCAGTCGTATAAAGAATAAAGGTACTTTACTCTTGAGTAAAACTCATATTTTTTGACAAACCTCGTATACTACTGAAAAAATTTGATATTTGATGACTGTATTCTAGGTTTTAGAGAATTCAGAACTTTTTATGAAGAATAACTTTTTTTCCTAAAATTAATAATAAAAAAGTTTTCCATATGATTCCAACCAAGGGGGACATACATATTGCCACGTCCAAAAAATATTAAAGTATGTTGTATGTACAATTCTTCTTCTCCTTTTTAAGTGTCAGCTTGGATTTAATTCAGAGCCGTGCGTAGTTTTATCATGAACATAACTCGTATTTCGTCTGTCTTTGTCGGTCATGGCCTACTTTAGAAACATTTTTTGTGAAGCACTCTTTTAAAATAATTATAAAAACACTTCAAATAAAAGATTACATTTTCAATATCGCAAAATAAAAATTAAAATTATTAATATCCTCATTAATATTTCGAGATTCAAAAATATCTAAAGATACATATTTTAGATAAATGTACATTTCAAAATAAAAACAAACACATTTAGCAATTATCACGACCTACACTTTGGGTAAAAGTAAAAAATTACTAAATCAGCAAAAATTAACATGTTTTTGTTTTTCTACGCCCATGGCAGTAAACGTTAAAAATCACACTATCAACATTCGTAGTTGTAAATGATATTTAATAATAACATGCACGTAATGAGATCTCATAACATACCCTTGCGTTTTGATAAGAAAACTTAAATTTCTTGGTTTAATCTTTTAGCATTAACGAGATACATTTTGGATTATAAGAGTTATGCCCCTAAATATCGGCAACATATTATACAATATTTCAAAAAATATGTCGCGTTTTCTTAGCATGCTATGGAATAAGCGTCATGCCATTTATATTGTCAATTTTTGTAACAAAATATGATTGTATCCGAACCTTTTCTCAACTTTACCTACAAATATGTTTGTTAACAGTGAAAGTGAAGAAATTATGAGCACTGCACCGGAGATTTTAGAAAAAGCTTAAGCTGCCACACATAATTTGTTACTGCTAAAATCCAAAGAAAGGTACGAAATTACCTATCGAAAATTTATGGATTGGCGACACAAGCATAACGTTAAATCCTTTTTTGAGTTTGTTTTAAGTAGGCGTAGAAAAAGTATAGTACGTTACACGAGTTGTAAGCCCATTACGCACTCGTGAAATTTACTTTTTCACTTCGTGCGTAATGAGTTACTTACAACTCTTGTTACGTAATGTACTATTTAATATGGTTAATTTTGCGATATCTGCGTGACGGTGATAAGTCGATCACAGCCGGATATTTTTTGCGAGGCCTGTAAAAAACCAGCACATGCTTCTTGTGTATCTAAGAAAGATATACTGGGTGTCCTAAATTCTGTACCGGGGTTAACATGGAAATGTTCTGAGTGTATTCGAGACTGCATTGCCATTATTCAGAATATTAAACAATTATTGGAAGGAAAAGTAGAGGAAGCACTCTCAGTTATAAAAAGTAAGTTAAAGTAACACAAAACAACGCTAATGAAGATAGATTATCAATACGATATTCCAATGATGTTCTCAGTAATAGAACGCAACCAGCACTAATCATTCAGCCTAAAGATCCGAACCAAGAGGTTAACCAAACAAAGTCTGAAATATTACATTTTGTCAATCCGGTTCAAGCAGACATTCAGTTAGCAAAAGTAAAAAATGTTCGTGATGGATGTATCTTTAATAATTGGATGAAAAAGCAAGGAAGATAATGACAAGCTATAAGTCATCGTCCAAGAAAAAATGTATGATAATTACGAGGTAAGAGAGGTCGTCCCTCGCTCCGTGCGAAGTCATGGAAAGAGAAGCAAAAGCGATACAAGCGCTAGCTGCGGATAATTCGTGCATTTTAGCATATCAAATACACGTATACATTTTACTTTTTTTTCAAAAAAGTAGGTAAAAACAATACAATAAGCAACTGGAGTTGCTGTGTTGAAAATTGTACAAATACTAGCAAAAATACAGTGACTTATATAAAAAATTTCAGTAGCAAAGTGGAAATTAAATCAAGGAAATAAATGGACAGGTGTACAATAAGAAGAAAAATTACCTTTACTTTTGTAATAACAGTAATGCTGGAAATAGTAGACATCAGAAACTTGAAAGGTTTTAAATAAACAATAAATTATCATTTTACGATGTTCTTTAATATCTCTTTATTCTTAAATGTTCATTCAGCAAGGACTAGATTTCAAGATTTCTGCCTTTGATTAGTGGCTGAAATGCAATTTTGTGACTTACTGATGGGAAACCAGTTTTAATCATTAATGCTATGTTTTCTATCGAACATAAATGAAAATATAAACAACTATCCTTTTTTTATACATTTTAACTTCACGCTATTATTATTTTTTTTATTTTGATAGAAGAGGCTAATTTTTCAATGACAACTTATTAGACTTAGGCAACTTCTCATACATTTTTCAGTAAATACTGTTGCTGTCTATATTTTATTATTGATTTTCATTGATTATACATAATTTTTTTTAATTTAAATGATAAAAATATATAATAATAATAAATTAATGTTTTACTTGTTTTACAAATCCATATACTTTTATTAAAACTAACATATATTCTTTTTAATTACGAATTCTATTAAAAATTTTATTTGTTAGTATACGCAGAAATAGTCCATTAGTACCAAATCGAATTGGCGCTGCTGTCGCGCACGGAGCGAATTGTTGAAATGTCCAAAAATATTCAGTTGAAGACTTACGCGATTTGATTATTAGCGGTAACTACACATTTTCTCAGAAGATTCCTGTTGTAATATTCTTAGAATATTTCCTACAAAGAAAAATGATAAAATCTTTCAGGCAATCAGATAAATCAATATACGATAGATCTGTAAAAGCTGGTTACTTATTTGTTGGTTATGACAGTTTTAGTGTGTATGACGGTGTTAATTTTCGAATTCCGTAAAACTGCACGTAAAAGACAACATTATTTCAACTGATCATGCTGTTTGGGAGAAACTCAATTGTATAGCGTACATCAGAGCCTTAGCTAAATTCAAACAGGATATTCTGGCTCCCAAGTAGCAATCATTTGACTAATTTCTATCCAATCATGCCGATCCCTCTAACATATCCGATGTAATCACAATCTAATATCAAAATGTTGGGGGAGTACGTACTAAAACAACACAAATTTTTAATTCAATATCTGTAAATCAATTTCCTGTTACTTCCTGTTACTTCCTGAAACTTAGATGGATCAATCATTCCCTTCAAATAAACTCTTTCCAAATAACTATTCAGTTTATCGTTCAGATAGAAACTACGATCAGACTAATTGTTCGAAAGGACAAAAAAACACAATTCCAAAAACAAGAATATTTTAAATAAGGGCGAAGTTCAAGTTTATGATGTAATATCATAAACTTGATCTTCCACTTAACTCGCAATACCCTATTTATAAATTACATTTATAAAAAAGAAAAGTTTTTTTTTTAATTATTTAGTTTTATTTTATATGCTCAATTTCAATTTTAGCTATTTGTTTGCAGAAATATTGATAAATGTTTTTTTTAAATTTTGACTTTTAAGTCGTTTCATGCTATTATAAATTAAACAGATTTGATAACAGAAAGATCGTCGAAATATTTCTAGTTTAAAAGCAGGAGGACTTAATAAGCCCTTAAACCTTGTATTGAGGATATGTACACCAGTACGGTATTTAATTTTGAAGTATAAATATGGAGGCGTTTTATTTATTATAATTTTATGGAAAGCATAGCTGCATGTAATGTGCTCCTATGTTCAACCACTCAATATCTTTTAATTTATATGAAATTCGTTCTCTTCTTCCAATTCCAAAAATTAGTCTACTGATATTCTCATGCTAGACATGGACCATAGAGGGTATCAGAATAATTAAAAATTGACAAAACAAGTGAATCACATATTTTTTTAATTTCTTGTGAAAGAAAATGTCTGTTGCTATATATTACTTTATTAATAGAATAAGCATGCTTTATCACTTGGTTTATATGTTTTTCGAATCTCAGATCAGAGTCCAATATGACCCCAAGACTTTTGGCTTCATTATATCAATTTTGAGAGGCTCTCAATTTATTTCAATATTAACATTATTTAATATAGAGTTACGTTTTATTTGAGAACCAAAAATA